CACTCTTGTTTATGGCATCAGTAATCTCCCTAGGCTCTAGTCATGAGTTGCCAAGGCTATGGAAGCCTTTTGAGTTCGCCGACTTCGATCTTATTTAGACAAGGTCATAGTCAAAGTGGAAGTTCTCTCCTCCCTTCAGAGAAAGGTACCTCCTTTGATGGCCCGTTCTTTCTACTGGGATCTCACTTGTGGAGATCTTTCATTTAGGTTTTTTTTTTTTTTTTTTTTTTTTTTTTTTTGCCAGAGTGTCTTGGCTTTCCATCATGCCTAAAGTACTCTCAGGGGCTCCTCAGTCAGATCTGCATGCCTTAAGGGCTGATTCTGAGGCCAGAGTGCTATTTAGGACATCTGCCATTCTATGAGTCTGCTGTGTATCCCACTTCCCATGTTGGATCATTCTCTCCCTTTTTATTCTATCAGTTAGTATTAGCAGACACTAGTCTTGTGTGATCCCTTTGACTCTTAGACCTATCAGTGTGATCAACTGTGAACTGAAATTGATCACTTGGACTAGTGAGATGGCATTGGTACATGCCACCTTGGTGGGATTGTATTGGAATCCCCTGGCACATTTCTAACTCCACCATTTGGGGCAAGTCCGATTGAGCATGTCCCAAATTTGACAGTAATATTGTTTTAATTACTTTGTAATATGCTTTGAACTCAGGTATTTTCATGCCTCCAGGTTTCTGTTTTTTGTTTTGATTTTTCCACACAGGATAATTTTGGCTATTCTGGGTCTTGTGCCGTTCCATAGGAATTTTAGGATTTTAAAAAAGATTTGTATTTATTAGAAAGGCAAGGTGATGGAGGGAGAGACAGACAGATTGATCTTCAACCTTCTTGTTCACTCCCCAAATGGCTGCAATAGCCTAGTCAAAATCAGGAGCTCTAGGGGTCTCCCACATGGGTAGCAGGGGCCCGTGAACTTGTGCCGTCTCTACTACTTTCCCAAGTATATTAGCAGGGAGTTTGATTGGAAGCAGAGCAGCCAGTGCTCTGATGTGGGACATGGACAACTGCGTCACAGGCAGTGGCTTAACTTGCTGCACCACAGTGCTGGTCCCAGGATTGTTTTTCCAAGTTCTGTAAAGAATGCCATTGGAATTTTAATGGGGATTGCATTGAATTTATAGATTGTTAAAAGTATAAACATTTTAGCAATACAAATTCCATGAACATGGAACACCTTTTCATTGTGTGTCCTCTATGATTTTTATCTGTGCATTACAATTTTTCTTGCAGAGAACTTTCATTTCTTTGGTTAAGTTTATTCATAAATATTTTACTTTTTTGGTAGCTTTGTGAATAGGATTATTTTCTTACTTTCCCTTTCAGCAAGGTCATTATTGGTGTACAGAAATGCTACTTTTTTGTATGTAGATTTTGTATCTTGCAACTTTACTAAATTGGCTGATTAGTTCTAACAGCTTTTTAATGAAGTGTTTAGGCTTTTCCAAGTATAAAGTCATCTCATTTGGAAACATGAATATTTTGGCTTCCTTCTTTCCAGTTTGGATGCCCTTTATTTCTTTTTTCTTCCTTAATCATTCTTCCTAATATTTCTAGTAGTATATACAATACATTAATCACTTGATGAATGTTCAAAACTGAGTTCCTTCTGTAGCCTTCCCATTTAAGCCAGTACAAAAATGTAGTTATAGGAAATTTAAAAGCAGCCCATGACATTTCTAAATAATTCTATAAAATTCTTACATCAAGTTTAAGTGTATCTTCTTTTATTGGTTTATAACTGGCCATTGTTGTACTCCCTTAGAATTAGAGAAAAGCCTTATATCTCTATTAAAAAAACCCTCCCTATTATATTCATCCCTCTGATTCTGATTTTAAAATATAAAACATAAACAACTTTCTCAATTGTTTTCTACAATGTTATTTCTAAAACCCAAAACAACAACTTCCACCTTTCCTTCATTATGTACTAATCCAAGCTCTTGGGTTTGCTAAATGAATTGTAGAAAGCATACTATTCATATCAAATAACTGTTGGAATGAAAGAAGGCATATGCATACAAGTTTTTTCACAACTGCCATCTCTTCATTGAGCCTAAAAGTGTACCTTCTAAATGAGGCATATTCTAACCATTCTATTTAACAGATCATGCTTCAAGAAGTTAATGGAGGAGTTGGAGCAGTGGCACAACATGTTAAGCTGCCACCTGCAGTACCGTCATCCCACATGAGCTACGGTTCAAGTCCCAGCTGCTCCACTTCTGATCTATCTCCCTTCTAATGTGCCTGGGAAAGCAGTGGAAGATGGTCCAAGTGCTTGGGACTCTGCCAACCATGTGGAAGACCTGAAAGAAGCTCATGGCTCCTGGCTTCAGAGTTGCAGCCATTTGGAGAGTGAACCTGTGGGTTGAAGGGTTCTCTGTCTCTCCCCCTCTCTGCAAAGCTGCCTTTCAAATAAATAAATAAATCTTAAAAAAGAATTTCATGGAAATGTGTATATTTTTTTAAAAATTTAGTTATTTTGAAGGTCACAGTTATAGAGAGAGAGGTAGACACAGCTAAAAACAGAGATCTTCCATCTGCTCGTTCACTTCCCTGATGGCTGCAATGGCCAGCATTCAGCCAGGCCCAAGTCAAGCCAGGAGCTTCAAATGAGTCTCCCACAGGGGTTACAGGGTCCCAAGCACATGGACCATCCTTTACTGATTTTCCCAGGCCATTATCAGGGAGTTGGATTGGAAGTGGAGCAGCCAGGACATGAACCAGTGCTCAATGGGATGCCAGCATCACAGGTGGTGGCTTTACTCTGTATGCCTCAACGCTGGCCCTGGAAATGTATATTATGAAAAATTATGCATTCATTTCAAAATTTTTACACCAATATAAGGTTATCTTTTAATGTGTTTTTCCATGAACTATTTAACGTCTCTCTGGGACAGTATGAGCTTCCCTCTCTCCTAAGCAGTGCAGATATGAATAGGGCACTCCAGACTGCCCTCATGCTACTTTAAATTTTCTGTTCTTCATAGGACACATCACTATCTACCATATGTATTATTTATTATCCATCCACACTATAAAATATGCTCTACAAAGGTAGTAGTTTTCAGTTTTGTGTACTGTGTTATTCCCTATACTTGAACAGCACACAATAAACCTTTAGTAAATATTTGTTGAATGATTAATGGATGAATATTTGGTATGGTACAGCTATCTCATACTTCATATTTGAATAGCAGCGCATGTCCCACATAATGTTACTTATATGAGAAAGGGCTGTTAAAAGATGAAAGGAACATATTTTGTTGTTTCCTAAAATATAAGATTTGTATTGATGATCTTGAATTTTGATGTGCCAAAGGACACAAAGACACAATAGGTTATGCTTTTTCAACCAGACTGATACTTCAGTTCCTCAGTTGGCTTACAAATCAACATAAGACTTTTCCCGTTTCAAAACAGTTTTTTTTTTAGTTTAACACTTTTGTAATAGGTTAATGCTGATCAACATCATGAAATACTTCATATCTAAAACCAAAGAGGTCACATTTGACTCTCACTCTTTGGCTGGAACTTCTCATTCCTTCGTATGTTAAAGGAAGGGACTAGAATTGCTCAGTTCCCCTTTCTAACCCATAAATGCACTCAGCTGCAAGCCATTCATATATCAATGCTAAAAACATTTGTTCAAAGAGTCCCAGGTGAAGTGGACACTTGAAATGGATAATTTATCACAGTTACATGAAGACAGTGGCCTTTTTATTTCTTCCATTTTCTTTACGTTCTTAAGATGAACACTTTGCCAGAACTAGTTAAAAAGATCCCACTTCCACAGCATGAAATCTTTCTGTGTAGTAGATACTAGCACCTGATTTTTCATTTCCCTCTTCTTTCTCGGACATGCCATCTGATACCCAGTTTTGCCAGTGTGCAGAACTGGCGTAAGACAGTCAGCATAGTTCATTCCCTAACCACTGCGAATGGCTGAGAAGGAAGCATACATCCCAATTCAGACCAGCGAGGGCACAGTATGCATGGACCACGGAAAGAGCCTTCTGTCCTTCAGGAGGAAGACATGTTCAGATGGCAGCCACCTCACAACAGAAGACGATGGCCTACAGTGGCCAGAGGCCCACTGGGTGGCACCTGGGGATGAAAGAGTGAGAAATAGGAGAAGCCTGGTGCCGGACACTGTTGCAGCAGGCCACTCAAACCTCTTTAGAAGATGAAACAATCAATAACCTTCGTTTTATTTTGTGTAGTTGTAGCCAGAAGTTTTCTAATACTTGCAGTATAAAGAGTCCTGAGCCACAGCTTTCCCATGGGTGACGAAAATACATATTTATATGGTATGGTTTGGGTAAAAGATACCTAGTAAACTTCTTCCTTCATTTATTGTTTAATCTACATGTAGTCATGAACATTATTACTAGGTGAATTAACATTTAGGTTTGCATCTGTCAGCCCATGTCAGCAACTACGAATTTAAAATCTAAGAATTTAGAGCAAATGTATATTGGGAGGCCAGGGGAGATAAACATTGGAACAATCATGAAAGTGCAAAATCAGAAGGCTATAGTGACTAAAGACTTGATACATTGGTCTTGGTATTAGCCAAACATGCAAGTCAGGCTGGGTAATGAATTTTTGCTGATTGACTATTACCATTATAATGGTGTTCCACCTTATTTCAGCCATTTGAGCCTATAAAGAGTTCATAATGACAAATTTAACATTTCCATAAAACATAGAACATTAACACCTTAGCAAGTGTTATAACACCTTAACAAGTGTTTTATCCTTCATGTTACTCAAAACTTCTTGGGACTAACTGAAGATTACACAAAAACTGTAAATTAAATAGAATCAAGACTAAATTTGCATACATGTTACATACAGACACATATGTATTCATGTGCTAATTAATGATGGGATATATTCTGAGAAATGCATTGTTGGGCAACTACATCATTTTTGAAAATTATCGAACCTAGACAGTACAGCATCTATTTGACATATTCACATACCATTGTTATTATATGTAGTCCTTCACAGATGGAAATACCATTACATGGTACATGGCTGTGAAAACACAAGAGTACTTTAAAAAGTTTGTAGAAAATGAAGTTAAAATTAAGTTCTCTGTGGTATAAAATGTGAAATTCATGCATAGCTTTTCATAAAGTATATTTTCCAGAAACTTTTCGAAGAACTCTTATATACATAAAAGTTTTACATAAAAATAATATCTTTTAGTTTAATTTTTCAATGAACTTCTTGAAATACTCTCATATTATGGAGAAGAGATTTAAGTATAATGTTGTAATGCAAAGGAGAGAAATTATTGTTGAGATGGAATTTTAAATAAACTTTCACATGACCTAAATCTGAAACCAGAGATCTGTCAGAAAGGTACTTTAAAACTACAGTAAGCTGAGGCCAGCGCTATGGCGCAGCGAGTTAAAGCCCGGGACTGAAGCGCCGGCATCCCATATGGGCGCTGGTTCGAGACCTGGCTGCTCCACTTCCAATACAGCTCTCTGCTATGGCCTGGGAAAGCAGTAGAAGATGGCCCAAGTCCTTGAGCCACTGAACCCACGTGGGAGACCCAGAAGAAGCTCCTGGATCCTGGCTTCGGATCAGCACAGCTCTGGCCAATTGGGGAGTGAACCATCGGATGGAAGACCTCTCTCTGTCTCTCTCTCTCTCTGCCTCTCCTCTCACTCTGTGTAACTTTGACTTTCAAGTAAATAAATACATCTTTAAAAAAATAAAACTACAGTAAGCATAAAGATGATAGATACAAATATATCTATTCAATGCAAAGAAGTAAATTATTATTTTTTAAAACAGGTGATATTTTTATGTGGTCACTTAGTATGTTGGAGCAGCCAAAACTATGCCAATTAGAATATACTGCAATAAGAGACACCTGCTCAGAAAAATGATCAATGACTATATTAGTTTCTTTTCAGTATATGTGTAACAAAAGAGAAAGCTGCAATGCTGAGAATAACAGAAAAATCTGATAATAAAAGATTGAATTACAAAGGTACAATAACAAACTGAATACGTTCAGAAATAATAATTTATAGTGATCAAGAAAATACCAAGATAATATTAATAGTGGATTTCTAAAGTCTAAGAAAACAAAATTCAAGAGCAAATATTGAATGTGCAGAACAATTAGGTAAATAAATGAGGTAAATAAATCAATCTTTGTTGTCTATAAAGATAATTTATCAGATTTGAGGAGACTGAAAAGAAAGGGACTATCTTTTAGTAGTACTTTGCATATGACCTAGTGTAGTCAAGGGACAAATTGTTCAAAGATTAATACAAATTAGATAGACATACAAGGGCAAAAATTCTTGCTGAAAAGTCCTTGTCTGTTACTTTGGAAAAAAAAAAAACAAAACGGATCTTTAGGTAGGAAGACAAGACACATTTGACTCCTATATTTGAAGTTCCTAGGAATAGAAGTTTGACAAACAAATGATGGTTAAATTAAATCCATTTCTCTTAATGGGAAGAATGGTATGTTTCTCTAAAACACTAATTCAGATAAACCATAAACGAGTTTAACTCAGGAAAGCAACATTGATGTTACTTATTAAGGTATCACATGATATACCATTGGTGCACTGGAGAAATTAAATGATACTTTTCTTTTAGGGCACAATTAATATGGATTCTTAAAATGCTGACACATTAGGGGAGGAATCAAAGTGGAAGAATAGAGTATGAACCAAGAAGAAAAGGAGACACTGCATTATCAGGAGAGAGCTCAGAAATGAGGAAAGGAGGAAGAGGAGTGGTACACAGCATAAACACTCAGAAAATAGAAAAATAAAAGGAGTAAAGAAAAAATAGAAAAAGGAACAAAGCACATTTAATTGCAACCCTGGCTCTCCAGTACAAGGGAAAATCCACATTGCTAAGAAAAAGTGAGAAAACATCGCGACTCCACCCTTGCTGCAGAAAGATGCGCTAACTCACGAGAATTCCACAGTCCTCACAGGGTTAGATTCAGTTGGAGGAGACATGAAGCATCTGAGAAACCACTCTGCTCCAATGGAGGAACTTCACCTTCTCCCTCCTCCAGACCACCACAGCATGGACACTCCTAGACACCATCTTGTTGCAGAGGCCAGTAAGTGACCACAAGATAACACCAGAATCCTGCAGCTGGCATATGCCTCACAGGGCAGAGAACAGCATTCCATGGCTACAGGACTGAGCTGCCCATGCATACGACCAGGCATCACCCACGCTCGTCTTGCAGCACCAGGGGAAGGTCCCATCTGTTCCCTGCAGATCTAACAGTGCAACTACCAGAGCAGAAGTCCTGGCATATACCAGCACTCACCCACTGGAAACTGAGGATGGTCCCATATTTGTCCTGCAGAGGCCCACAGCTGGTGTTACCACAAGTCCTAGCATAAGCCATGCTCACTCTATGGGATCTGGGTAATGTCTCCTCCATGCTCTGCAGCTCTGAGAACATGGCTGTCAATGCTACAAGCCCTGGTGTCACCTGCTGTCACCCAGAAGGATCTATGGATGGCTCCATTTGCAACCTGAAGCTCCAAGACCTTAGCTATAGGTGTTATATGCCCGCAGTGTCACTCAAACTTTGCCAGTGGGATGTGGAGATGATCTCCCTGTGTTTCAAAGCACTAGGACCTAGGACCTTGGCAACCAAATTCCAATGCAATTGACGTATTAAGTCTGAAACATCTGAGGACATTCACTTTTGGAAACCCACATTAACTACAAAGTTATACCATAACCTCTATGAGTTATTGTATTACTGACAATTGAGTGACTCAGAGACCTGCTGATGATTACAGTTGAAGAAACCTCATGGAGCCTACAGTTTTGAATTTACCAACAACCAAAGCCAAAGGATATACCCAACTTATCACTAGATTCCATTTAAATGAAAAAGTCCTTTTCATTGAAAGATATTTCATAAAATACCATGAAAGGAACACAATAAGGATCCAGAAATAGATCACAATCTGAAGAAAACTATGAAAAGCCTAAAAAATTCAAAATTATGGTATTAAAGTACAATGAAATGCAAGAGAATTCAAAGAAATGAGAAAAATAACAGGAATCAAAAATTAAACAGAAATCTTAAAAATCAGAATCAATGAGAGAAAAAAATACAAATGAGAGCTTCAGCAACAGATTATAGACTGAGAGGAAGAAAAATTTTCTGAACTTGAGGAAGGATTTTTTAAAAAATAATCTAGTAAGATATAAAAGAAAACTGTGAACCAGACACCATGAAGAATGTCTACAAAACATATCTATATTCTTCAGCAAATACTTGCATTATTAGGATATTTGAAAAAGAGAAAGAAGTCACTGAAATCCTAGCAAATGAAACAATAGCGAAAGAAAAACTCCCAAGTCTTGAAAAAGATGTGTACATCAAAATCCAGAAGGCTCACAGATTCCAACTAGCTTCAGTTGAAGTTGTCCGAGGCTTGTTATAGTTAAAATGTCAAAGATGTAGGGAAAATTCTAAAAGAGGCAAGAAGGAAGTGTTACATCACATACAAGGGAAAACCTATTAGATCATTAGCAGACTTCACAGCAGAAACCTTATAGACAAAAAGAGAACTACGATATATTCAAAGTCCTGAAAGAAAAACACTGCCAACCAAGAATACTTTATTCAGAAATGAAGGAGAAATACAGTTTTACCCAGAAAAGCAAAACCAAGAGAATTCATCACAATCCAGCTAAGTCCCATATGAAATCTTTACAGGAGTCCTATATTACAAGTGAAAGAATGATAATTATATCATGAAGACACCTAAAAGTACAAAACTCACCAGTATATCAGATACACAAAAAACCAATAAGCAAACCTTATGACATAAAACTCATGATATTTTTGTTCCATAAAGATAAATAGATTTAAAGAGAGAATTAAGGTCTGGCACTGCGACATGGCAGGTAAAGATGCTGTCTATGGTGATGGCATCCCATAGGGGCACCAGTTTGAGTCATGGCTACTCCACTTCTGATCCAGCTAAATGCTAATGTGCCTGGAAAGCAGCAGCAAGCAGTCAACTACACGGGCCTCTGCACCCATGTGGGAGACCTGGACAAAGCTCCTGGCTCCAGGCTTCAGATTGGCCCGCTTCCCCACTGGGGCTATCTGAGGAGTGAACCAGCGGATGGAAGATAGATATTCTCTAACTCTGCCTTAAAATAAATAAATCTTTAAAAAAGTAAGAAATGGATTCCAATTCAATAATAGTTGAGGTTTCAACAGTACACTTCAGACCATTCAGACAAAAAAAATCAATAAAAAAATGGTGTCAAACTATGCTAAAGAACAAATATGCCTAACAGGTATTTACAAAACATCTCACCCAACAGCTACAGAGGACACATACTTCTAATCAGCATATGGAACATCTTCAATCATAGACCATATGCTAGGCCATAAATCAAATCTCAAAAAGCTTTCAAAAAAATCTAAATCATGGTATTATCCTCTCATACCACCACAGAATGAAACTAAGAGTCAACAAGACCAACGAAAAATATAAAATTATGCAGGACCTTCACAAAATTCTTGAGAAGGGCATATTATAAAAAACTACGCAAGGATTTTAAAACAATTTTGCACCAAGATGGATTTATCTTTTTTTAATTTCCATGAACATTTTAAGTACTGTTGAATATGGAAATTGAACATGCTCCTGAATTATTGATGAGTCACTGAAAAATATTCAAAAGGAAATAATCTTTAAACAAAGCAAAAAGAAAATACAACATATCAAAAATGTGTAGAATACAGCAAAAGCAGTATTGAAAGTTTAGAGCAATAAATGCATGCATCAAAAACACAGAAAGACTTAAGCAGTCTAATAATGCACCTCAAGGAATAACAATCAGAGAGAACAGCTTAAATAAAAACTAGAGATACAAAGGGAGACATTACTATTGATACAAAAGAAACATAAAGGAGCATAAGTAGTATGAACAATCATGGCTAACAAATTTGAAAATCAAATTTCCATATACATACAATCTAGCAAGACTGAATCAAGATG